ACATATAGTGTGTAGAAGCGTTAGTTAGAATAACATATGTAGTTCAAGTGAAAGTAAAACAAATGTAGTCCAAGTGAAAGTGAAAGAAATGTAGTTCAAGTGAAATCCTAAGGAAAAAGGATAAGATATAGTGAGCCAAAATAAAAGTGTCAATATTGCATGGCCAACCCTGCTAATATTTTTAGATGTCTTAACCTGTAAACTAATAAAGTGTTAGGATTATTTACTAATATTTAGTATAGTGCCTTCTGGTAAATATAGTTACTGGGTGCAAACTACTTCCTGGGAGCTAGACACTAATTGGGACCAGTTAATTTGAGAATGACAACTTATAGTAATCTTAATTGTTCAATATATATAATATTAATTAATCCTAAATTGGATATCTATGTACAACTTAAATTGAATACATGGACTGCTACAGTCAGTTTACATTGTTTAAGAAGTTCAATTGCAAGGGATTATTTGCCTTACTTCTCTTATACTTCATCAATGTGAGTTTCTCATTATTATTTAAATGTGCCAGACAAAGGTCATATACCAAAGCATTATGGTACAGATAAAGTTTGCACAAACAATTATGATGTGCATCATTAACAGTGTTTATAAACAAAACTTAGTAGAAAGGTAGGATTTAGTGCAAGTTACTTTTAACTAGATATGGTTATAATAGGCCATAAAAGATTTTTTTTTCTCCTTTACATATGATTGTAATTTTTAACTCAAGAAAATACAGGATTGGATTGTGCCAAGTTGAAGTTTTTACTGGCAACAGAATCATCACGTGAAATTCTGTGCTGGTGCATAATGAGTGATCAATTACCTTTGTTGGTTGTTAATTACAGTTTGGGTATTTTCACAAAGAAATTGTCCTATTTATAATTGTTTTATTGAGTTTAATAATTATTATGGTAGTTTATGATGATTTTAGTTAGATAAACAGTATGTAAATTGTAAAGTAGAGTATACAAATAGGTGTTTAAAAATATATATATATATATGCGACCACTCTGAACACTAAATTGCTTAAAATAAGAATTGCTAGCAGACAATTTGAAAGTTGGTAGACTTATGGCCTCAAAAATTTATGGAGGAGTTATTAATCTTCTAATATGATGAATTTCTTGATTAATGAAAATGATGCTGAATTATATTAACTCTGATAGTGCAACAATTAATATTATAAACAATGTGACTTTACTTCAGGAAGGAAGGACAATATGACACTCCTCATCTCCAGGTGATGACATCAACATTGGACGATGACATCAACGTTGGACGTTGATATAACATTTTACGTATTTTATACTTTGATAGAATTTAACATTACAGGTTATATATTTTTAACTTGGACTGATTAAACGGAGTGATTTTCATTTAGAATGCGGGACGCATTCTTTGGAGGAGAAGCAAATGTGACGGAGTGATTTTCATGTTGTATTTTATAATTAATATCTTATACTTTTACTTTGTTTTTACTTTGTAAATTAATTAATGGAAACATGATACAAAAAGCATTTAGATAAACCCGGGTCATGTAGTACACCTGGGATATCTCTGGTCAGTTTCTCACATTAAATATGCAATCATTACAATTGTTCAGAGCATCTTCAGACTTACAAATGTTTCTTTAATTTACATTTAATTTACATTTCTATATCTTGGATTCTAATTAGGATTTGAAGCAGTCTTCCTATTGTTAAACTTTTTACATAACAGATTTGAAGTGATCATGTGATGTCTGGTTTTGAAGAATATACTATATGCCATGTGAGAGATTTGGGTGCACTTTTCGGCCTAGACTTCAAAAAGACATAACTAGATTTAGCAGTAGATTAGAAGTGAAAACAAGTGAAATAAATAAAAGATAGAAATTAAAACATCACACTATTGTGTACAATTAATATAAAGAAAGCCCGGTCATAGTAACCTCAATAATGCTACACATTGATACATTAGACAAGACATGAGACACTTAGCTTTCAGTTCACCTGCGTAAAGCAATGCGTAAAAAGCGACCGAACAGAGCGATAGATTCAAATGATGTTTGACTATAGTGTATTAATGCAGCGTTTTAATGCAGAAGGACATTATTTTGAGTATCTTCATTGAACTTTATATCAAATAGGACTTCACAGTTGGATTTAATTTTTCAGATTTTCATTAGAAGTTATGACGTCAATATGAGCTAAAAGTCCTGGACCAAGTGCCCCTACCATGGGGTAGGAAGTGTGATTATAGAATTTTCTGTCGATCAATCATTCTGAAAAAGCCCTGCTGTATAAGCATATAAAATATGTAAATGTGTAAAAGTTTCATGATATGATTACCTTTAATTTAGAAAAAGATACATCGTTTTTATCAGGACTTCTGGATCGGCCTTCATATGTGGTCAAATAAAATAAGAAGATCATTGCATATTTTTATATTTTATATTCATTTGCTATAGCATATATCAATTTTCTTTGTATATGAGTACATACTGCTTTATTTTACGCAGTATTATAATATATTATAAATATCAATCTCCAAGTTAAATACTCCTGGTCATAGCTTATGATCTGTTTGTTTTATAACGTCTTAACAGCCTAACTTATAAAAATCTCAAAATGAAGTACATGGAGAAACACATATTGCAACTTATGTACTGTTATCAAGAGCATTTTCGCCCACAATTGAGTAGACAACAAATACATTTTCTTAATATTGGCATATTTCACATAATATTTTACACCAATTTGGCATGTTGTCATACAAGTATTTGCGCCACAAACATGATTTTTAAAGACACACATTGGTTGACATCATTTGATGTTAAAACTTGTCAGAAAGTATAGACAATTGCATGATTTAAAATATGAACACCTTCCTTAACCTTCCCTATTAGATTTACCCCCACTTCATAAAGATTTCCCATTTAAGGGTATCTGATACTTCATGAATCCACATTATCTAATATTTACATGAATAAGGTTACCAGGCTGTGTGACTAGTACATGTACTAGTCAAAGACTGTTTGACTAGTACATGTACTAGTCAAAGACTGTGTGACTAGTACATGTACTAGTCAAAGACTGTGTGACTAGTACATGTACTAGTCAAAGGCTGTGTGACTAGTACATGTACTAGTCAAAGGCTGTGTGACTAGTACATGTACTAGTCAAAGGCTGTGTGACTAGTACAATAAGATATTAGTGAAATACAGGGGTGATCAACAGCCATGTTTTATAAAATAAACCTAAGTAGAAAGATGTAATTAGAGTTGTAAATATGACAATTTTCACAGGTTACTTGATATTAAAGTTTTACCATGTTGTATATATCCATGTATTTACAATATTATATAGAAAATACAGTATCCAAACCATGTAGCTAATGTTAGTTTTAATACTACTTAAAAAAAAACAGGTGAAAATTTATATGACATGGCTGGATTCAATGTGTCAATTTCAGGGTGCTCAATGTGTCAATTACACTGAATGTGTCACTTATACATAAAAGACACCCTGTCGGATGGTACATATACATATATATAACTACTATCTAGTGTATGTGGTCTTAGGTATCCCAAAATATACAAATATTTTAAAGGAAGTCATGAGAATTAGTGGACAGATAACTACTAAACATGGTGTATCAGTGAATAAACAGTTTTACATATTGCCCAAAAAGCAAGGATTCTCAACATGTCAACAGAGCTCTTAAATATGTCTAAAACTGAACAATCTTAATGGTATAAGTGCTCAAAAGATGACGACATGAGGTGATAAAAATGAGGTATCGCTAATTTTGATTTAATATTACCCTGATTTAATTAATATAATTCTGTAACTGAAAAATGTGAGTTAACAAATATTTCAATGAAAAAATTGTATTTATGGTGAATCGACTGGTTTTCACATTCACTTTCTAACCATGCATTAATAGCTAAATAAATAGTCTACAAGCAAGCTATGAATAGGTGAGGTATATACAGGGTGTCAAATGGCGTTGTGCCCCCCTTCCACAGCATAAACTTAGAAAGGTACTGACACATTATGTATGTCATTGGAAAGAGCATTCAATTTTGGATAAAATAAACCCTAGATGACCTAGGTCAGATATTGCTACATAGTGTCACATGCATTTGAAATGTACTAGTGTAGTGCTCTATTTCATTGATTTTTGAGAATCTGGCATAGACTTTTTGGTATTGATGAATACCCAAGCAACAGCCCTGACCTAAATGCTGCAGAGCACATGGGGAACATATTAATGGAGAAAACAGAGCAACTTATGGACACTGAAGCTGCAGAGAACAGAGTCCAAACATGCCCTGCTCAAGAACCTCCGAAAAGTATTAAAATCTCTTGAGAAAGACACAGCCCTTTTCCATTCCCATTTAGCTTCATATGTGGCTAGATTGGTAGCGGTTAAGGCTGCCCAAGGGGGTCATACTCACTTTTAAAAGTAAGTTAAAAATATATCTTATTTTCCATCATGCATCTTCATCTTTTCCCATGTTAACAACAATTAAATGCTCTTTCCAATGGTATATGGTATGTATGTGTATCTTTCCTAGTTTATGCCGTGGAGGGGGGGCACAACACCATTTGACACCCTGTATGCAAAATGTGTTTTGTCCAATCTTTCAGGTATTTCATTCATGAATAAATAATGGGGTTTATTCATTGAATTTATACCCTCAAGAAATCAGTCTTACAGTTCGACTACAATGTACAATTGAGTAAAAACTAGAAACAGTTATATGCAAGCCCTTCCAATGCATGTCATGAAATTATCTTTAAAAGTTTTCAACAAAGACTCATGAATAAATAGCAGCATGACTTGAATTGGTAGGCCTCAAAAACAGTCAATGGTTACAGAGGTAGATATTTGCTTTACAGATTCTTCCAATCCTAATGTGCCCATAGTACATAGCATAAGGCCATACCCTTAGACATTTGCCTTTATAGGGTCAATACTCATATGCCCATATTAGGTCATATCCTTACACATGTGCCTTTATAAGGTCAATATGCACGTGCCCATATAAGGCCATATCCTTACACATGTACCTTTATAGGGTCAATACACATATGCCCATATAAGGTCATATCCTTACACATTTGCCTTTATAAGGTCAATACCCATTTGCCCATATAAGGTCATATCCTTACACATGTGCCTTTATAAGGTCAATATGCATGTGCCCATATCCTTATACACAAGCCCACTGCCACGTGAAATATTACTTCATAGAGAAAAGTACATACAAAGAACTGTGAGAATAATTATCATGTTTTATCACAACAATTTTATCACAATTATTATAACAGTTAAGCGAAAATTATTTCTTGACGTAAGGAGAGGTGAATAATGAGAAATGTGGTCCATGCAAAATGTAGTAAAGTACAAACTTTTATATCTCTCTTTATCAGAAATGTAATGTGAGCACTTCTCAATCCAAAACCATTTCAATTTTATGAAATATACTGTCTCCTTAAGACAACACTTTTTAAAGAATTTTTTTTATCTATAATATGAAACTGAATAGATAAAAATAAACATTTTTTGTTACAATAATAATGCAATTTATCTGACTTAATCTTTGTATTAATGTTACTGTCACTATATGTGTCCAATCTTCCCAACTGATCTTGACAATTTATAATGTTATAATTTATATGTTATTTATAAGCTTCCCTATTATGGTTATCCTTTCAGTCCTTTGCATTTATAAACACCATGCAAGTTTAGAACTAATATTGCCATTTTAACAAAACACTGACAGGAGTGGTGTTCATTTTTATATACTGAACATATAGTCGGAACATATATATTGCTTAATTTCAAAAATATACTCTTGGCATTAACATGAAATCAGAGAGCACTGTCCATATTCAAATGCCTTCGTCAAAACATGCAACACATAACACTAACTAAGGCCATTGTAAATAATCTCCGTTTATGTCTTATTCTGATTAGAGTCTATTATATCCAATGACCTCACATATCTTAACATTAACAAAACAGTATAACATATGTTTTCACTGTTCATCTACACACATCTCATTTTGGCACTTCAATTGTAAGTCAATGCATTTAGCATGAACTTAGTCCACCTTCATATATACAGTATATATCTACAAACATGCATGTGCAGCATCTTCCCACCATAAGGCATTATCTTTTCAATAATGCATTTTCATATGTAATATCCAGTAAGGTCTCCAACCTTTTGTTGTTTTGCCCAATATCCTGTCATCATCATAATCATTATAATGTGAATTGCTGCACTGTCATCTAAGCAATTGTCATTTAAACAGTGCTTGACTCATCCCTTGGTCACTCATTGATGTGTAGGAATGATTTCATAAGTCTTTCATAAGTTTCTTTCATGTGAAAGTCCTCCTATTTCCTACCTGACTGTACGGCTGATCATTAACCTTCAATGATGTGTCATCATTGATTTCATCAGTTTGATAACAAGTGGCATTCTCACATCAATGATCTGTTATCCATGGTCCATCTTGGATGAAGCATCTGGACACATTACATGTATTAACCAATGTTTCACATGTATTTCCTGTTAAACTTTGGTTTCTGGTCCATCTGTCTGTTGCTTGAAGGAGTCACGCAAGTGAGACATAAGCATCGCTGAGATGTGACCATAAGCTTTATTGTACCATTCTGGCGATCTCCCTCTGAAATAATACAATGAAACACATTTACAATTCCCTTCAAAACAGTTTGATGTATACAACTAACTTGGAAAAAGTGACTCCATTTTTTCAGAAGTATGGTACAAAACTCTTTAAAACTATTCCTTGATAATTGCAATCTAATTATCTACTTATTTATGTATTTATTTAAATCATTTTTAATATTCAAATCATTTTTATTTGGAACTGTGTCAACTTACCTGGTGTCAACTCTTGATATATGGGTTAATCGGGACTTTCCTGACCCACAAGGCTCAATAAGATACCGTGATGCCAATGTCACCGCCCGACAACCTCCTAGCAATGGTGCCCCTGGGTGATCGACACTGGTCGACACCAACATACATGCTCCCTTCGGTAGATCAGTCCTCCAGGTCCTCAACTCACAGTAGTCTCTGGTAGGGTGGGGGGCCATACTGTTTGTAACATATTGGAAGATTTCAGTGTTTTTGTCGAGACGATCAATCACTCGCCATTTCAACAGATCTTCATCCCAAGTTTGCCTACAAAACAATAATAAGCTATGTTAACACAATAACTGATATCAATAATAAAATATTTGATGGAAACAAGTACCTAGATTATGAATTCCTTTTTTAATTCATGTCATTATATCTATTCTATTTCTCTATACTATATATTCTACATATCTAATATTCCATATATTACTAATTGTACTTTGTTATGTACCTTTCACGGAGTACTCTATTAAGAACTTCTATAGGTGGCGCTTCCAGGTCGACACAGCATTTCCACAATCGCAATGGATGACCATCTCCAACTTTCTTGTATGACAAGTCAATGTTAGTTGCCATAGTACTTGATGACACATTTATCCAACCTTTGAACTTATCTCTGGCTTCTTTCAGGAGACCTTGAATGCATGTTTCTAGATAGGCATTGGGGTTGCCTTTGTCATTGCCATAGCGATGACCTAGATCTTCCAAGGTCACGGGGTCACCTTGTTCTATGTAGGAGAACTTACACTTACTGATGGTGTCTTCATGGACCTGGAAATATATGGAATGGTGAAACAAATTACAAAAATAAAATAGAATGAGTGTGAACATATATTTGAGCTCTGGTGAATGCATTATTCATCTGAGAGATGGTACGAGGACATTTACACACAAAGCATCACTAGAAGTCCTATGTATAAGAGATAATTAACATTATAAAAATGATTCATTCCACCTATAGATTATCCACTAAGTGTGTAATCTTACCGTAACAATCTTCTTAGAGTCCACAATCATCTGTGTAAGACATTCATGTGCCGCTTTTTGGTCCAGGAGCTCCTTTTGATCGGGAACACCAATATTTTTGCGATTTCGTTTTGGGCTCGAGTTGCTGCTTCTTAGTCCACTGAGATGAAACAAAGATGGCGCAAAACACACAGCCAGGTTGCTCTCCGTCATCTGTAGAAACAAAGACTTAAGTTAAATTCAAAATGGCCACCAAGTAATTTATCTAGCATGTCCAAACCCTTATCAATCTTTGCACTAGTATGCTCTTGCATCTTTAAAAACTTAAAGTTGGACAGGTAAGCAGTTTTCCTAGAATTTATATGGTGAGATTTATGGGACAACAACCTGCCCAGCAGCCAAAAAAAAAGTTCATGTAATAGTAACATTAACATTGTTATTCTACAAAAGTTATCAATTCAGACTTTCATCAGCACTGCTGAGACACAGACACTTGTTGATTGAGTCATTTTAACCCCAAAGTGTTCAAACAAGCAGGAAGTATTAGAATAGACTGGTGTTTCTTCATCCCTTTGCAGTGCAAAATAACATTCTGTGTAAACAAAACTCAATTGTGAATAAATATTTTTCAATGAAAATGTTCACCTGGTTTTTATCTGAATGATCGGCCATATCCCTGAGGAATAGTAAGAGTGATTGGAGCACTTCTCTATTCTCATCTGGCATCAGCATGTAAGCAGCCTGTAGAGCCTCTAGTCTGAGCTCCCGGGGACACACTGTAATAAACAAGATATACATAGTAAAACATGCGTGTGCTGAACAATATGGTACTTCAAATTATGTTCCATCTCTGAAGGAGGAAGTTAATTTCCATCGAGTGTGTGGGTAATAAATGACATTGAAGAGTGTTCCACATATCTGGCCCATATTTAATTTGTGTACATTTTATTTAACTAGCAACAATTAATGTGCCTATATTTTAGCTGCCTATATTTTAGTTGCCTATATTAAACAAGAAGTAATACTCACACTGAAATATGCTAATGAATGTCTCTGACAGTTTATTGGTCAGCACACATTCAGGCAGCTCTCGGAAATATTGTTTCAGTAAATCAGCTACATCATATGCCTGATGACCTTCGAAGTTTGTCATATCTAAAAATAATTCAATGATTACAACATTTGATTTCCATATATTATTAATAGCAGAAATAGCAACATTCATTATCACCGAGAGTTTCCTTTGACGTCATTTCAGGAGATATCTATGGATGTGATAATGAATATCCTCATTGTTGACTCGAATTATCCTATCTGTACAAGTATGGCAAACAATTTCTACTTTCGTCTTCCAATTAATTCCCAGCTTCGATTAACTTGTTTTTTTTTAAATTACAGAATTAAAAGTTTAGATTCATAGACCTATATTTACAATAAGCCAGAAACCATCATCATTTTGTCTGCCTTTTATTAAATAAACCGACGGCCCGACTATATGTACATTTGTGGCTTAAAGTTTAGGCATAGATACATACCTGGGTTGGCCTCTATTTGGCTCCTTAACTTCTGAATTCTGGATCGAACTCCAGATTTTCGGAATATTCCTACAGCCTCAGCGGCATTGCGCCGCAGGAAGCGCATGGCGTACAAGATGCATTGTGGGAGAGTTTGACCTGTCTTTTGTAGAATGTGAAGCAATGGAACACCAAACACTTGCTTGTCTTTATAATCTGGGGTCTTGAAGCGCTTTATGAACTTTGGCATAATCCTGAAAATTAAGAATGTTTTACAGTACTTTGCACAAAGGATCACTCAGATCAAATAAGTTCATTTAATGATCTTTAACTAATACATTCCTGATAGGGTATCCATTTGTAATTATATCCATTATCCACATTATTCTCAGAAAATTACTTGAAAATCTAAAATTTCAGACATAATATTTCATATATACATTTTATAGACATTTTACGAGAAATAATGGATATACTTGCATACATCTAGAAAATTGACATTAATTACATCACAGCACAGGTGTATTATTGAATCATAATTGATAATAAGCATTACATAAAACACAATCATTATCAAATGCAATAAAGACAAATCCTATACTTACCAGTTCCAACCAGTCCTATTGACGGGAGAATATTTCTCCATGACGGCTGTCAACTTGAGTAGTGAGAGTTTTCTAACAAGCATCAACTGTCCTGTAGAAAGGTTACTAATGCGTAAAGTGCGACTGTTGAAGCTTGGCCTGTGGCACTTTTGAAAACTATGCCACCTAATTCTGGGTCGTCTCCTATCACTGCAATGAATTTAAAGAATTAATATTATTATTTATAGCTGTGTGCAGAGTGAATGTTTGTCAAAATGTAAATACCAATGCCCAGTTGGATTGTTTTAAACATGTGTCAGATCAACACATATCAAAACATGAATTATTTTGAGTTGCATTGGCGTTTGGTATAAAACGTTTGTTAAATATGAATGTATTAAACATTATAAGCCAAATGTTTGTCAAAATATGTGTATCAACAGTGTTTTTCAGAATATGTACATCTACTAGATTACTATGTGCCTAGACCTTGGAATGTGAATACCCCCATTAAAGTGAATTCCCATTTCTTCATCCATGTTTGGTGTTATTAAAATCCTTATTCAAAGCTCAGGTATTTTGAGTTCCTTGACTGTTTTGTTCAATGTATCCTGTTAGCAGTATTCGTTGTCAAAGTGAAAAGTTGTTCTTTATTCTCAAGACACTAAGCAGTTTGGACCAATTAACTGAATTTCAACCAATGGTCTGTTATTTTTCAATAAACATTTGTATTTTATGGGTAAAGTATACTAAACAGCAGACCTAAGGGATGAATTAATAAGTTAATACAAATAATAATAATAACAAATTAATAATAAGTTAATACTATATAATAAAAACAAATTATTAATTATTTGATCAACATACCTAGGTGCTCTTGTTAGACTAGACCCAACGCCAGAATCTCTCCTCTCTCGCAGTTCTGTTCTGGGAGTACTTGGCGAGTCTTTCCCAAAATCACCCTCCGAAACATTATCGTTTGAAGACGTTCGACTGGTTGTAGTTGTGACCTCGATGTCTAGGTTTTCTGATATCGCATCCTGATTGGTTGACACTATTGTAGTTGTCATTGTTGCAGATTCCTGAGTTCCAAGTGATGTCAAGTTGACATCGATGACATCCTCCATGTCTTCAATCAGCTGTGTATCTGATATCTGTTCTGTGATGTCAGCTTCTGTTTGCTGTATACCTAGTAGTAGAAAATATACTAATGCTTTAAGACACAGGTGTGCATGTATTTATAATGTTTCAACTGAAACTGAATTACATGCGCTGTATAAACCCACATGGCATGCGTAAGCGGTGTATCCTCTTACATTAATAAGATTTGAGAGTATCAATTTCAATATCCTGTGACAATTCATCTACCGTATACACATCCACTACCCTATTACATGCACTCTTAGTAAGATATATATAAACATACATATAATATTGTAATAACAAATTACTCGTAGAATTCTATCAGATATTCCATATAAACAGGGCCCACTCAAAATAGGAAATTTCATCGTAATAAACATGTGTCGCGTGTATTAAGATCCCCTTTAACATGTGCTGCTGTGGCTTATGTTTTGATTGGACAAAATAATATCACATGTGTTGCAAGTAAATGTACAGTTCCTTGACTAAATAATTTTTTCCTTAATCAACAGTTTGAATTCATAAATAAAATAATACCTTAAACCTCATTCCCCTAAATTGGATGTGCTTTTAAAGCATGCTGCTAAAACCCCTATACAAATTCTGAAGACATGGGAGTTTAACAGATAAGACTATTTATTGATTCCATTACAAGTCATAAAGACGGTACTTCAGACTGACTTCAATTTTAAAATATCATTTTTTTATTGACCTACTGAAAATATCTTGTAAAAATGTGATTTAAAAGAAAACACAATTGAAGCTGGGAGGATAGCAAAGACATTAGGTAAGGTAAGTTTTCATTGGTCTTCTCAATTATATAAATTAAAAATTCTGAAAAACAATTAGTTTATGCTTGATTTTAACCATTCAAAAGAAGCAAATTTTTGCCATTCTAAATCAGGAGGCTAAAACCACATCCAAAATTAAAGTTCAACATAAATCATAAAATTAATGAAAAATAACCAATACGAAATTCATGAACTATAACCAATACGAAATGTCAACTATTTTTCTTCGCAAATGATATAAAAATAGCCTACACCATAATATAAACAAGTTAGTGATAGCTATACCTCACATAAAAACACCCATAAACAATATGTAATTAAAAATACTAACCAGATACGTCAATATCTTCTATCGGTTGTGTTGTCATGTTGTTAAGTCCGCTTATATTTTCAAATAATTCACTTAAAATCAGATCTAGTTCCTGGTGGAGCTTGCTAGAATCAGCGCTAGTTGGTGGTACATTGTCATATATACTCATTCTACTAAGTGACGTGTCTCCCTCTGCATTATGAGAACCCAGACGACGTTCCACTGCTGGGCTCTGATTGGCTGAATGACTGTCAGTTACAAATTTGTGGCGATTATCACCTGAATCAGATCCAAAATTGAAGCTTCCTGTTCTGATATTAATTTGACTACCATGTTCAGTTTGTATATAACCTCCTTTAATAAGATGTGGATCTGAATCATTGCGTTGTGCATGATCTCGGAGACCACTGGCTTCGCTACAATTACGAGACCGGGTATTTGCAAATGATTCCTTTTTACTGTCAATCATATGACTTAATTGTGTTTGGTCATTGTCACCGGGAGCATTTAAATCTGACCTTCTTTGCACTGTTGTTGTTGTTGTTGTTGTTGTTGTAATATCCAACCCTCCAGGAGGTGTCTCATTTGTTGGACTTATATCAACACAATTAAGGTGTTGTATTCTTGCCTCAATGTCAGAGTCTCTCATTAGAACTGGCCCACTGATTTCAACATCCTCCTTAAAATGCTTCCGCCTTGTTTGCTTTTTAGATTTACCAGTAACGTCCATTTTTCTTAAAAAGCTCTTAGCTCCATTTTTTACTTTCTCACTGGCGGACCTCCGTAATCGTGGACTAGTGGGACTGGTTGATGATTCTGTATCACTGAATTGTGATGTTGAACTTTGAGGAATATCTAAATGTGCAACTGGGCAACCGTGAAATCTTGGAACAGGAGGTGATGACTGCTCAGGTAAATAAAAGTCTATATGTTTTTTCTCGGTTTCAGGAGTCCTTCCATGTGATGTTTTACTATGCAATAAAGGACTGTCGTCCTGCATGCTCAAACTGTCATTATCAGTTATAACACTGTCTCTACTGCTGGACGATTTTAATCGTTCTTTTTCTAAATGTTCAATAGGGGAATCCAGATCCTTTCGGGACCATCTACGGGAACTTCGTTGGAATTTCCATTTGTCGCTAAGTGCACATTGGTCCTCGTCATCCGATTCATCAACTTCCTGGAAAGCAATGTGAAATAATGTGATTTAGTGGGAAACACTGTGTAATGTATGTATGTATGTATGTATGTATCATTCATTTGCTTCTAAAATAAGACAGTTACAATAATATAATATGAAATATTACAATACAATGTAAAATAATACAATACAGAGCCTACTTAGATATTGAAATATACAACTGGTTTTGTTTTAAGAATATTATATCATTAAAAACTGACTTTGTATCATTTGAAATACACTGTAATCAAGTCAAATTGCACATTGGCTGTTATATAAACAGAATCGAGATATAAACTGGCGCCACACATATCATAATGCCACAATGCTCTTCAAAGGACGGGACAGGAGGCTATTGTCAAAATTTATAATTTTGAATTACTGTCCAAAGATTAGCTGAACTTGTATAGTTTAGTACCATATTGTACTCATCTCCTCATGAAATAAAATGTAAAATAGAGCATTGAAAAACATGTTGCTTATGTCATGCTCATTTTACATGCTTGTTCATATCAATCCTCACCATTCCACTTCTTTTCACACTATTTGCATTCTAAATCATGACAGTGTCGATCTTACCATTTTACGTGGTGGAGTCTCTATCTTCATCGTGGCACATTTGTTCAAAGTGTTCAGACGACTGAAAGTAAATAAATAGCAAACTAAAAATATTTTAAAATATGTTAACACAAGAAATAATAATCTTATCTGGTGCCCTTGTTAACAAACTATTGATCAAAGTGTACAGCATATATGTTAATGTTTTATGTAACATATCATATAAATGCATCAAATTATAGGTCGTTTTCTTCATTTTATGGATTCAATTCAGTAAGTAACTAATTTTACATGATTCCCAAAAGAACACTTCAAAGACATAAGCATAAAGAAGCCATATCTTTTGGCTTTCACCAAAATCTGAACATTTGATTGAATAATTTTTGTATGTTTGACATATGATTTAACATTTTTCATTTGAGGTCTTATCTATAGTCTGAGTGCCTAAGCTTCTGTTAGGTTACCCTAGCTTTAAAACGATATTATAAGTGATTTAGAAGATCAAGTAAATCCACTAATTGACCTCACACAACAAAAGTCATCAATCAGTATACAGCACTATAGAAATACAAATTATATGGTATATACTTTGAGATAGCAGTATCAAAAAGATATTATATAAGTGCTTACAACTAGTGGTTTATTTTTCTCATACTGTTGCATAGAAACAGTTATTGGTTACCACAGAAACAGTTATTAGTAACCAAAGCAAATGAGATCATTCACCTCCTTATAAAATCTGACACTTCTCTCTTAGTACCTCAAAAACATTTGCCACAAGCATTATAACTTTTTACACCTTTTACAAAATGATAAAATGGAAATATTCAGTTATATCTCTGGTATTTTTAACATGGCAGGGTATTAAAAAGTCCCCTTAATCTTGAATATTCATTAGTTTTAATGGTTCAATTTTCAAATTACCCTTATTTATCTGATAGTTGTACAAATTAAAATATGTCCTGTAAATTATCTGTCCAATATAAGAAAAGATATTTCACTTTTTGTGATTTTATAACATGGGGTCAATTGGGAATCTCCCTGAGCTGGAAGTCATATTTTCAAAGAAAATTAAATTTTCAAAATTGATAAACACTTTTTAAAACCACAATCTAGTAGAAATTTTATACTGATATGTAGACTTCAAATATGATATCACTTTGAATAAATTTTGAATTTTTGATGATGAAAATCAAGATTATTTCTACCTACACTGGTCTATTAAACAAGAGAATTCTGACTTACCGAAATAAAGACTGTATTGAGTCTCTGTCTAAGAAATCGTGGTCATTCTCCACAGAATTGATGTCAACAGGAAATTGGAGATCTGAAAACAAAACAAAAAATATGTAATGTGATAATAGATAAATCTAATAACAATGAGGCAATGATCTCCTTTGGACCCCCCATCATATCGAAAGGCAAGTAGATAGGGGGAAGGACCCAAAAGGGAGAGGGTTCCGACCCAAGGTGACTGACTTGACTTAAAGACAAACAAAAATATTTTGTTAAGCAGTCAATCACATTAATCTCATGCAGAGACATTGGTGTTTGTTTTGCATCACATGTTTACTATAACTCTTCTTCATTTGCTAAAGAATATAATAACACTGTAGTTATTACACAAATTCCTACCACATGGGTAGCCGTATTATATTATTATGCTACAAATCATCATAGTCAATTAAATCGATTGCGTTGTTAGATCAAATAATAAAAAATAATTACTCATATTCATTATTACTAATATTCAAAATGATCATTCCATTTCTGGATTAATTACTCTTGGACACAATTTGTCTCATATCCTCTCTCCTGAACATAATTATCCCCATGCAGGGGTTTCATAAGCAGCAGGCGAATTTCATTGTTGTTTTTCACAAATGCTTGTTGTTTCTAGGGAGTTTTCAACTTTTTCATGTTAAATTAAATTGATTTCCATTAATTTTGCCTGTTGTTTTCATTTAAGCCTGTTGTGAGAAATGTGTGTTATATCCTTTCTCTTGAACATAATTATTCTCTTGATTATGGACTATTAGAATTACAATGCAGAAAAAATATTGCAATAATTAGTTTTCTTTTGTTACCTGTTTTTGAAAATCGTTGAATGCCAAACTTTACACAGACATGTAGGGAATCTGGTATCCTCAACTTGAAATGCATTTTTGATGACATCTACATATACTAGTATATGTATGTATATATGTATCTATGTATATATATAGTATATCCTTGTTATATATGAACTCTCCTTGTTAAGACTTGCTTTAAATATATGTATCTATGTCTATTGTTCCTCAAAGTATGAAGATCTAACTGTTTTCATTTCCTTTATATGTTAATTAAATATAACTAATTGTTTGCCCTTTGGTGTGTTTGCCATTTGCCAGTATGTTGTTTGTTGTTTATTTAAAGTTTGCCTACTTCAAACCAATTTTGATTGCCTAAATTACAATATTGACGTCATATAGTATAAAACAATCAAGTCTTCTCTCCATTGAACATGTACAATGATGATTCTAAGAGTACGTTCTTAGTAGAATATTCACTAACTTCAGTTGTACAAAATACCATAAGTAGCTTCTTATCTATTTGCTTGGTAATTTTTGGCTTCGTGACGTGTTTATCAAAGTGTTATGAATTGAATCAACAACCTGTGAATATTTGACCAAAAGATATCGTCATTTGACCAAAAGATATCGTGCCATGTGGCCAATGCTCACAGTAGCAGTCTCAACATGCACGTGGCACAAACAAGTGTGACTTTCACTTTATTTATAAATGATGTCTTATTTTATCTTATAATTATTAAGAATTTTCTGAGCCATGGTCAAATAATCATTATATTGTTGACTTTGTGTACATTCATCATAAGCCCAAATGGTGACCTGTCAGATGAAATAATGATTCCCAATTAGAGTTTGAATAGATAGTATTGTCTCATACTGTTTATGCTGGTAAAATCTACAGAGCTGCTACTAAGTAAACTGCATGGATTAGATGTACATTCTATGAATTTGGTTGCTCTAAACGTAAACATAGGGTAGAAACAATCCCAGAAAAATCCTTGAGAGCATGTACATCTGAATTATAGATTCAAAATAGATTGTCAATGCATGTAGTTTTACAGGTAATTTCACCATTACTATATCAGAAAATAAATTGATGAAATTTAATGCGACAAATCTTCACAGAGCTAAATATTTGTTACGTTTATCATCCACTGACTCTAGTGAGACAAACATTAAAAAACATTAAACAGAAAGACTGCCATCTTTTACCAACATGCAGGCTAACACAATATGTATTTTTCTTTATTTTTGAAATGTATAAATTGCATTTATTTATTCCATGATTTCATCCATTATTTATTTCATTTTGTCAGTGTCATATTGTACACCAGTTGATGTCACCTTTCCAATTCGTCAATGTCAACTGTCAATTGTCAATGTCAAATGAAAAAGACTATTATATTTATATTGGGCCCAATCTAATACAAAATATAGTAAAGTTAGCCACTCAAAAATGAAAAGAATTGATATATGTGTTTATCCCAACATGTCTCAATATTAAGAACCTCATAAGTTACCTTTTCAAGATTGGTCAAGGGAGTCAGTTATCTATAAATTATAGCATGTCACCTCGGATACGAACAACAAACTAACAAACTAATATTTCATTAATATGAACTACCTTATTTCAAATGGGTTATCATGTATCTATATAATTAAAGTGATAAAGTAATTCATTCCCAGAGATCAAAAGTATGGATATATTACATCTATATGATGAATTTGCTTTTAATTTTAAAGTAATAAATCTTTCAGTTGTTTATCAGGCAAGGGGTTTAGGTGATCTAAAACATAGGGACCATTCAAAGTTTTAATCAAGGCACTAAAGTCAGGTAAAGCTGACACCACAGTTTTAATCCAAGTAAAGCTAACACCTAAGTTTTACTCAAGTAAAACTGACATCAAAGTTTTGACTAAAACTCAGGATGAACATGTATCCTGTTTACTGAAAACATCCTTTGAATTAAGTTGTCATGGTGACACAAGTATATAATAAGTAATATTCTTTACAATCGATGAATTTAATGCTTGAAAATCCCCAAAGTTTGGTTTAAAACTACCTTTAGGCATTTTGTGAAAATGAAAAACAATTGAATTTCCCTGATTGTTCCTTTAACCAATGTCTTATTGCTAGTACTGACATCTTTCTGCTGACCCAGTAACTATGTGAATCAAGAGAGCAACTTTCTTACCTTCGTACATCTGGGCGTATTGTGGAAATCCAGCTGCCCTGAGCCACTTACAGGCCTCTATAGCTTCAATCTCTGAAAACACACAAATACATACATGTTTAACTATTGGTTGCGTGTTTCATATTTTTAATTACATATATAGAATTTGAAAACAAATGTATGCCTGATAATGAAATGATTAACATGCCCAACTTCCTGACCACCAACCAACCAATCCAACAACTAAACAGGAAAAGGTACTACACAGTTAGTGATTAGTATGTTATGTGCGGATATATCTTAGTATTTCAGCTCATGTGTGTCATAATACCAGCAGAAGAATGGCTTATTCTGGCTTTCGAGGACCATGGACATGATAATGATGATGAATTCCTTGTGTCCTTGTTAGAATCTTATGCCTAAGTTATAAAAGTCAGTCAGTTAAATGCTCATATTTTTGATTTTTGTGTGAACTATTGATATTTTTGATCTTTTTGTGTAAACTACATGTATTGATATACACACTTTTTTGTAATAATGAAATTAAAATGCAACTTACTATTTCCAATTATATAAATCAATAGTTTTGGGTGAATCATAATGCTTATCCTACATTTACCATCATAGAAACTTCTTTTCATCTTTTTTCTTGAATAAAATACTTCTGATAATTTCTTTATCATTTTGTGAAATTACATCCAATTTGATATAATTTCTCGATTTATACATATGAATATGTTTTTTCAAATCCCATTTTCTTCCCTTTCATGTCCTTTTGTAAAGAGTTTGACATTGAGCCTAAGAGCTTTATCTCCACAAATTGTAACAATTCCAAAGAGTAATTCCTCTTTCAACATGACAGACATATCTTTGAATGGATATGATATCCTGTACCCCACTAAGTCATATCCTATAGTGAATCTTACATAGGGTGTGTGCTAGACCACATCACTGCAACAAATTTTGCTACAATACTTTATAGTTATGTAGGGTCTTGACCTCTTACAAAGTAGTCAGCTATTTTCAGTAACATGAAATAGGTTTCTCAAGAGGACTACTCCATCCTTACGAGCGAACCATTAGACCTAAGTGGGCCTCATTCTGGCATTCTCATACAGAACTCTCTGTTGTTTTAGCTAGAAATGAAATGATTGAAGGCTGTCACCTCTCACAATGCAATAGAATCTTTCAAACCAAAACTGGACAAATTATATTTAATTTTAATGAAATACAAAGGAAATATCCTGGTCATTGGTAAAAAGGTCCTCTTTCTAAAAATCCCATGGTTCACCCTGATGCAAGTGTGTCAATTCATAATCTTTTTTCTAACCTAATTTTTCGAGAGATGAAGTTGAGCTCTCTTGCGAAGCGTTTCTCAAATTAAATTGGTGTATGTTACTCTCAATCTTTGCTCATACAAATTATCTACAAAATATTTTTTACCTGATAATTTTCCCATAAAAGATCACTTACCCAAGTCATACTTATCAGCACAGTAATCAAATCTTAACTTATAATCCTAACTATCTAACTTTGAGTGTATATTCTCAATTCATAAAACTGAAATGAATAATGCTAGTATGTAATGGTGTTTTTAAGTTAGCTACATTCACTTTGAAGATCAAAATATTTATCATAACTGAAGTTATCCTTAAAATGCTCCCCTCAAGTACTTGATTTCATATTTGATTTTTGAAATTCTCAAGTATCCAGGGTTTGATGTTTCCTTAAATGTAATAACTTATCAACTTGAATGTATGATTGAGTCCATGCATTTCATTCATCATTTTAATATTTACTTTTCTTGATGAAATGAAAGGATGATATTTTGGATATGTGATCCAAGCAGTTTGAATGCTGTCATTTTAATGAAGCCCCTTCCGATAAATACTTGCCCTGAAATCAAATGCATTACCCATCAGATAATAATACCCCATTTCAGATATGGATACTCCATCAAATATGGATATACTTCAAAGATGAATACTCCATCTTAAATATGGATGCCCCGCTAAGACAAATGCCCTTTTAGACATGGATATACCTCAAATATGGATAGCCAGACAAATGCCCTTTTAGACATGGATATACCTCAAATATGGATAGCCATTTCAGACATGAATAGACATCAAATATGGATACTCCAACTCAGTTATCTATACCCCTCTAATATTGATGCCTTATTCAGACATGAATACCCCTCAAATTTGGATACCCCTACCAAAACCTCCAGCCATCCAAGTGGTATACAATAGATTGATTTCGTTTTAGCATATATAGAGCCATTATACTTTTACAAGGGAATGCACTTACTGACTTATTGAGCTAAATACAAAATACAAATATGAATTAAACTTCTCAGAAATAGGACACTAAAGTTACATGTTACAAGAAAGTTGGAATATGACATTGACGTCAACCGCTATCAAAATTACTAATCGCCAATATTGGTCAAATATGCAAAGGTACTTGACTTTATTAGCTCCATACGCCTTGGTATAAAGTTGCCTTGGTATAAAGTTTCGTAGTCTGCATTTAAATTGCAAAAGTAAACATTTCGGGTCATAAATATAACTTGCTCAGCCTATGCTTGACATACCTGATCTTTTTTATCAAATAAATAACAAGAGTATATGATATACTGTATATCTCAACCTTTGAAGGTAGATATAATATATATTTAAAATTTATGTCAAAAGTAGATATGTTGAAGGTAGATATGATATGTATCTTAATCATTTAAGATAAATAAGGGAATAGAATTGATATTCAAAAAATCCTGTATCAACCAAAATCTTGTATAAAATATTATGGAATAAAAAGGTTATTGATAGTCGTAATAGAATAAGATTTTTCCTTGAGAAAATATGATATTAGCCTTGGAAATATCATATTTCTACTCGTATTAAATAACCTCTACATCCTGACCATTTATAGCAAAAATGATATGTATGTACATACTGATTTTTCACATAGAGGATAGAAAAGTATGAAAAGTAAGAGAGAGAAAATCTTTAACTTTGAGTGATGACATGAGTTATGACATCAACACAAGGGGAAATGCGCCTTAAGGGGTTACTTCGTCATGGGGCTATTTCGAAATAACCCCATGGTCAAGTCGCCCCATGATGGAGTAACCCCTTACATCGAAGTGTGATGCATTTCCTCCATATTAGCCATTTACTACTATTCTCCATGAGAGCCAATTAACACACGCATTGTTACAACGGACAGTTAACAGTGTCTATTTTTGCAATAGACTAGCCGATTAATACATGCATTGTTACAATGGACAGTTCTATTTTTACAATGTACTACAGTATGTCTCTCATGAAGGTCCCCTTACATTAGGTATTTCAAACAAAATCGCAACTGAATAGTGAAGAACAAAGAACATTTGAAAAGATACTTTTTATGATAAAATATGAAATTAATTGTAGAAAAAATGTGTATTATTGTTCCAAATGGAATTTATTATCCAAACTACTGCAATGAGATTATGTAAACCTGTTTTTATAAATCATGTACTGTCTATATATTTAGTAAATGAATGAAATAAAGACTATTTTAAAAGAAAAAAACCAAATGTGTGTGACGCACACGCTTATACAGTATATGCATACTGTACATTGTATTTAAAATATGACATAATTTTTCAATTTTAAAAATGTGCAAATGATCAATTTTTCGATAGAGAGTTTCTCCCGAGAATACCTACATGTACGTATTTACCATATTTACACAGGAATAACATTCAATTTTAAGACTGATGAATAAAAGCCTTACCTTGAAAATTACAATGAGAAAACCTTGAATAAATCCTTAAAATGTACATTCAGTAAATAATCCAATTCTAAAAGTTTTGACAACCGAATATCGCAGCTCCACAGGTTTCTGTGTATGAATGAAATAATTCAATTTCTTCATTTATTTTCTAAAAATATACGCAGCTGGGGACTAGTAGGGTAATCCAGAATCATAATATTTCACAAGCAATTTGACAGATCCCTGTTTTGGATTAGGGACCTAACAAATAGAAGAATTTGAGAGAAATCAAACAAACTTTTCATGCAACCTTGAAAAGTCTAATTCAGTATTGTTAAATATTTTGAATTTATTTTAAAATTAGGAAAAGCCAACTTAATTAATATTTAACGTGGAACTGTTTCTGAGTTGATAGCATTATTCAATTTCCAAGGACTAAGACCTTCAAGAGCAACCTATTCTAATGCACATAATGAACATTCATAACTTAGTCTATAAAATAATAATTCCCTTGCCGATAATTCTTCTGAAAAATGTCATTAATTTTTATGCTTATACATCCAAAATATTAATTTTGAAACACAGAAATGTATCTAATTAAGAAGTTATGTGGAACCAATATGGGTCATGACATTATTTTATAACCTTAACATGATACTTGTAACATTAAATGTGTAATATTTACAAGGGGTTGGATAAAGGTTTATGCTCTTGGCAATTGAAAATATGGAGACCCAGTCTGAAGAGACTTCAATTGGGAAGTGACTTATAAATGGAAGCCAGTTGAATGGAATATCCAAAGTGTTATGCAAATGTTGACTGGCTTATAAAAATATAACATGAGGACAGTATGGTTTTAGGAATGATTTGAAAACTATTAACCAGTCTAAGAATTCAGAAGAGTATTTTCATTAGTTATGTAGGCTATATTTAGCTCTCACATTTAGAATTGACAAAGGGCAATATATGAATAACACAACAAGGTCTATTAAACAGTAGCAAGTGATAAGACCAACACAAAACCATCTGAATATATTATATATAACAAGCAAGCAAGATGTGTAGGTGTCCGGGATAAAAGTTTGCAGAAAACATGATATTTAATATCCTGTAATATCTGACAAAAACAACATAAAAAGCCAGACAGTAATCAACACATATATAAATAATTGAATACATGTAATAACATTGCATAATACGGTATAAATAGTACAAAGAAGTGCATATAGTGGACTATATATCCTGTAACACTAACATTTTACTTAAAACTACATGAACTTCAAACTATTTTTCAAATTGCAATTCAAGAAAATTATAACTTTTTTTCC